CTAATACAATTAAAAAAAAGGAGAGATTTATTTCGGTCAATATGCTTGACCGAAATAATATCATAGAAAATTAAACAAATTTAGGAAAGAAAGCGTCGTAGTAATTTTCTATAGAAATTTTTTTTATAAAAAAAGGAAGACAATTATTTTGGTCAAGTTTTTTGACCGAAATAGTTTAATAAAAAATTTAAAAAATTTACAAAAAGAAAGCATCATATTAATAGAATTTTTAAAAAATGAGACAATTATTTCGGTCAAAATGCTTGACCGAAATTGTTTTATGGAAAATTAAACAAAATTTAAAAAAGAAAGCATCATATTAGTACAATTTTTTTTAAAAAAAGGAGACAATTATTTTGGTCAAAATTTTTGACCGAAAAATATAACTAAATTAGAACAAATATTACTTAATTAATTCGGTCAAAATTTATGACTGAAATATTTATTATTTTATTGTTAATATAACTCGGATAAAATACTTGACTGAATTAACGGTAGCGCCAATTGGTGCTCTTTTATTTCGGTCAATATATTTGACCGAAATAATTTTAGACCGAATTATTATGTTAAATATTTTTTAATCGGATTAAAGTATATTTCAGTCAAAATTTTTGATCGAATTAAGTCTTTTTTCGGTCAAAAAATTTTCTTATCCAAAATATTTTATTCGAAATAAAGCTTTTTCTAGTAGTGTTCATTCGATGTAACATAGAAACCAAAACATAACAAATTAGTTAAAAGGTACAAGATTGATCTAACCCATTGGAGGAGAGGGACAGTATTTAATCCAAAGAAATTAGATAAAAATATAATTATTTTTTTCATTAAATATAAATAAATCTCAACTATTAAAAGTAAAAAGATGAAAAATTAAAATTTTGTATAAATGTGATATGTAAAATTTATATATAAATAGAACTCTACTCACATAAATAAATAAATATATATATATAACGTGAGATTCTTTTACACACACAACTTTCTTATGGGTTTTACATAAAATTATAAACATTCATTTTATACTATGAATAATTGAAATTTATCACAACTTTTAAGTAAAATAATAACTAATTAAATTTTTAAAAAATAAGATAAAAAGTAA